TAGACCACACATTAGAACAGAAGCAGCGACGACGTTTCTGTCCGTCTTGAACCATTATCAAGTCGTTTAATGTCAGAGGTCACCTTGTCTAAGAATAGTTCCCGGTCCTTTTAAGTAACTCTGTCCAGTTTAAACTGGTGTTTTAATCGCAGCAGTATAATGCTTTATGTGGTAGTGAGAGGTCTGGCTGGTGGCGTCTTCCTGCCCAGTGAATATATAAACAACTCTCAGTTACCTAGGTGAACAGAGGCATCAGGTGAAAGAAAACGTGCCAAACCGTTTCTGCCCTGCCCGGGGATTTATCCCGGGGTCCCACGGTGATTATTAGACTTAAATTTAGAACATTGATGTGTAGTTGATTACTACAGATCATTACAGCTGTAGCTAGACTTAACACGTCTAATGCCATCATGATTTAAGTCTTACAATTAGAGTGTCTGGGGTAAGCTGAATGAGACTTCCGCTCCTTAAGGGCACATAATGGCACCTCCCCCCCCTGCCCCCCAGACGGGTTCTTGGCAGCAGGACCACAGCCGCTGGGGTAGTGGTGGTGGTGGGAGGAATGTGGGTGGATGAGTGTTCCACATGTGGATGGTTGTGGGCGGGCGGGTGTTCCACATACGGGTGGCTGTGGGCGGGTTAAGAGGGTCCACAATGTTGGTGGTAAATGACTGAGTGACAAATGACACTATTATGTGCTCACGTCACGATTGACGGATGTCCTGGCCGGAATTAACCTCTCTCTCTCTCTCTCTCTCTCTCTCTCTCTCTCTCTCTCTCTCTCTCTCTCTCTCTCTCTCTCTCTCTCTCTCTCTCTCTCTCTCTCTCTCTCTCTCTCAACCCTCACACTCACTCACCGTCCTGACTCTGCCAACACTCTCATAACCCACCTGGTTATCTTCTTGAGGTTATCTTGAGATGATTTCGGGGCTTTTTAGTGTCCCCGCGGCCCGGTCCTCGACCAGGCCTCCACCCCCAGGAAGCAGCCCGTGACAGCTGACTAACACCCAGGTACCTATTTTACTGCTAGGTAACAGGTAACCTGCTCCCAACATGATCGGGAGACCGGTCGGCCGAGCGGACAGCACGCTGCACTTGTGATCCTGTGGTCCTGGGTTCGATCCCAGGCGCCGGCGAGAAACAATGGGCAGAGTTTCTTTCACCCTATGCCCCTGTTACCTGGGTTCGTATCCTGGCCGGGGAGGAGTTACTGGGCGCAAATCCTTAACTGTAGCCTCTGTTTACCCAACAGTAAAATGTGTACCTGGTTGTTAAACGATTTGGCGGGTCGTGTTCCGGGGATTAAGGATTAATCACAGGATTAAGGACCTGCCCGAAACGCTATGCGTGCTAGTGGCTGTACAAGAATGTAACAACTCTTGTATATATTGTTATATATTCAGCTACTGGAAACAAAAAGTTCTAAGTAGCACGGGCTATGGTGAGCCCGTACTGGACTTACCCGGCACAGGAGCGGGGCAAGTAGCACGGGCTATGGTGAGCCCGTAGTGGACTTACCTGGCACAGGAGCGGTGCAAGTAGCACGGGCTATGGTGAGCCCGTAGTGGACTTACCTGGCACAGGAGCGGGACAAGTAGCACGGGCTATGGTGAGCCCGTAGTGAACTTACCCGGCACAGGAGCGGGGCTGTAACTGAGTTGGCTCACTGTCTTGTATATAAATATGAAAATATATATAGACAAGGTGAATGAGGTGACGGTTTCTCTAGGGCCTCAGACCATCAATATTACCACAGGTTTGTGTGACGGAGCCACCACCGCTCCTGTGCCGGGTAAGTCCACTACGGGCTCACCATAGCCCGTGCTACTTGCCCCGCTCCTGTGCCAGGTAAGTCCACTACGGGCTCACCATAGCCCGTGCTACTTGCCCCGCTCCTGTGCCAGGTAAGTCCACTACGGGCTCACCATAGCCCGTGCTACTTGGAACTTGTTCAGAGGAGGTGAATCTATAACAACAACACCACAGACGGAGCCACACGCGCGCCTCAGCCATAAAGGAAGTGTTGAGTGGAAACAGATACGGCCGTAAGAGAGATCAATATAAACAAACACATAAACATGATGAATATTTAGAGGAGCCTTGAGCCACCTGGGCGAGGCTGTGGTCACAACTCTCTATATATACTGACTCATAACAGTATTTGTGTCTCATACCATACTACTTGTGTAAAGGAAGAGTGTAAAGGAAGAAATGTTTATGTTTATCACTCGGAATGTTCGGTAATATGTTTATTGTTTGTAATGTGTGTGTTTATATATATATATATATATATATATATATATATATATATATATAAATATATATATATATATATATATATATATATATATATATATATATATATATATATATATATATATATATATATATATATATATATATATATATATATATATATATATATATATATATATATGCAAACAAGCCTGAATGGTCCCCAGGACTATATACAACTGAAAACTCACACCCCAGAAGTGACTCGAACCCATACTGCCAGGAGCAACGCAACTGGTATGTACAGGGACGCCTTAATCCGCTTGACCATCACGACCGTCCATCTGGGGTGTGAGTTTTCATATATATATATATATATATATATATATATATATATATATATATATATATATATATATATATATATATATATATATATATATATATATATATATATATATATATATATATATATATATGAACACGTTGTACTGAACGGGGTGAGAATAGCTTGAGCTACCTCATCCCTTTGTGTGTATTTTACCCCAATAAACTTATGCAGGCGAAGAGTCACAATAACGTGCCTAAATTATGTTGACCAGACCACACACTAGAAGGTGAAGGGACGACGACGTTTCGATCCGTCCTGGAGACTTGAGAATGGTCCAGAACGGACCGAAACGTCGTCGGTCCCTTCACCTTCTAGTGTGTGGTCTGGTCAACTCAATAAACTTATTTCAATTTCAACTCTATATATAACCAGCTCATTCTCTTCATCTGCCACTATGTACGAAAATCCATCCAACCCAAAATGTACGAACTCAAGCAACTCACCTGACCTATAGAGTCCGATGCAAAGAAAATCCGTAAATATTTGTAAGCCGTTACTTAATAGGTTGTATTTGTAACGTTGGTAATGAAAACGTGAAAAAAGTTACCTGTTTGCTGAGAGGACGTGTTGTTATATAACCTATGTGAGGGCACTGAACCTCACGTTGCTTCAGGAGTAGAGATACAAGGGACATAATCCTGACGTGTAAGATACACTAGGGGAGGGGGGGGGGGATGGAACAAGTTGACATGTCATCAAAAGGAGCCAAGCCAGGAAGACCGTTTATCACCGTACGTGACAAAAATAGGATGTTTAACATGACAAACAACAGAATGAGAGAATATGCACGGAAGCCGAGGAGGCAGAGAGATCATCTTTACAATGAAGGTACTAAGCAATGAGAATAAATTAGGAGACTGCCGAGTCTAACTATCTTGAGATGATTTCGGGGCTTAGCGTCCCCGCGGCCCGGTCCTCGACCAGGCTTCAACAAACCACAAACCTCACAAGTCAAGCCTGGCCTCGGGCCGGGCTTGGGGAGTAGAACAACTCCCAGAACCCCATCAAGCAGGCCTCCATTTTGTTACACCCCCCCCCCTACCCCACCCCACCCCCAGGAAGCAGCCCGTAACAGCTGTCAAACTCCCAGGTACCTATTTACTGCTAGGTAACAGGAGCATCAGAATGAAAGAAACTCTCGCCATTTTGTTTCGGCTTATATAGTTTAATGAACATATCAACAGACGTAGAGCATAATGGTTCAGGAACTGGAGCTAACCAGACACCTTTTTCACCTGTTACAGTGGCAGGAGGAATGCCATAACGGCTGAGAGCCTCGGGACTAACAACACTTCCAAACCTGACATGACAAGGCTGATCTCACCGAGACCTTTAAAATACTGAGCAAGTTTGAGGATATTAAGTCAGACCACTTCTCTAAAGGTTAAATGTAACACATACCAGGGGCGAGACCTTCAACAACCCACAATATGGGCCATAAAACAGGAGACGCTTCTTCACCCACTGGTTTATAAACCCGTGGAACCGCCTACCCGCCGAAGCTGTAAATGCTCTGTTCAAAATCCTTAGCAGCAATGTCGGGTGGCGAGGGGAACCCCATCCCACATTGGACAACAATCCGCTGGCTTCCTGCCCCCATCAAGGCTACAAAAGATTGGACAAGCCGCTAGCTTCCTGTCCCCATCAAGGCTACTAGAGATAAAAGACGGCGGACGAGATAAAAACGGGTTGTATATTCATTTAACAGGTATAGTATGTTCGATAAATAGGTAGAACATGCGATAAACGTGTAGAACATGCGATAAACGTGTAGAACATGCGATAAACGTGTAGAACATGCGATAAACGTGTAGAACATGCGATAAACGTGTAGAACATGCGATAAACGTGTAGAACATGCGATAAACGTGTAGAACATGCGATAAACGTGTAGAACATGCGATAAACGGGTAGAACATGCGATAAACGTGTAGAACATGCGATAAACGTGTAGAACATGCGATAAACGTGTAGAACATGCGATAAACGGGTAGAACATGCGATAAACGGGTAGAACATGCGATAAACGGGTAGAACATGCGATAAACGGGTAGAACAAACGACAAACGGGTAGAACATGCGATAAACGGGTAGAACATGCGATAAACGGGTAGAACATGCGATAAACGGGTAGAACATGCGATAAACGGGTAGAACATGCGATAAACGGGTAGAACATGCGATAAACGGGTAGAACAAACGACAAACGGGTTACAAACAACAAAGACAATTTAACAACATCAAACTCTGCAAGTGCAAGAGCAACAAACCTTTTCATTCCAAATAACTGTTTTTATGTTGTAACAAAATGTGTTTATCACAAGGTTCGGAGAGACCAATATTGTAGGAAGGAAGAAAGAGTGTATATACGTACCTGTTATCTCTCTGAGGACGGAGGTGAGGTCGACCTCCCTCTTGCTGGGGTCAGCAGCTGTGGTTGAAGGGAAGGTCGTCACTATCACCACCAGGACCAGGCCTCCTAGGCCTCCTAGGCCTCCTCCTACTCTCATAGTGCTTCTCCAGCCGTTCTCATTCACTGTCAAACCGCGGTTACTTCACTCTGTGCTAGTGAACACAAATTTTGCATGTTATCACAAGATAGACAATGTGTGATAGATATTGCTCAACTTTGCGAGCATTTTATAATTGTCTTGTGATCAGATTTTGTGTTTAGTCTACAAGTCTTAGAGGCATTAAACACTTTCAGAGAAGCTGTTTTTGGTAAGAGATGAGTGACAGAACTTCAAGCCTAGTGACTTGACTAATGATGGTGCACGACGGCTAGTGATAGTGCACGATGGAGCACCATCACCTGACAGGTCTATAGTGACACACGGGAGCACCATCACCTGACAGGGTTATATAGTGACACAAGACGGTACACCATCACCTGACAGGTCTATATATAGTGACACACGGGTGCACCATCACCTGACAGGTCTATATACAGTGACACGGGTACACCTTCACCTGACAGGTCTATATATAGTGACACGACGGGTGCACCATCACTTGACAGGTCTATATATAGTGACATGGGTACACCTTCACCTGACAGGTCTATATATAGTGACACACAGGTACACCATCACCTGACAGGTCTACAGTGACACACGGGAGCACCATCACCTGACAGGTCTATATATAGTGACACGGGAGCACCATCACCTGACAGGTCTATATATAGTGACACGGGAGCACCATCACCTGACAGGTCTATATATAGTGACACGGGTACACCTTCACCTCACAGGTCTATATATAGTGACACGGGTACACCATCACCTGACAGGTCTATATATAGTGACACACGAGTACACCATCACCTGACAGGTCTATAGTGACACACGACGGGAGCACCATCACCTGACAGGTCTATATATAGTGACACACGGGTGCACCATCACCTGACAGGTCTATATATAGTGACACGGGTGCACCATCACCTGACAGGTCTATATATAGTGACACGGGTGCACCATGACCTGACAGGTCTATATATAGTGACACACGGCGGTACATCATCACCTGACAGGTCTACAGTGACACACGGGAGCACCATCACCTGACAGGTCTATATATAGTGACACACGGGTGCACCATCACCTGACAGGTCTATATATAGTGACACACGGGTGCACCATCACCTGACAGGTCTATATATAGTGACACACGGGTGCACCATCACCTGACAGGTCTATATATAGTGACACACGGGTGCACCATCACCTGACAGGTCTATAGTGACACAACTGGCTCACCATCAACCAACTCCAGATGGCCGCCTCGTCAACTGTGACAGGACTCTGTAAGTACACACAAAACAACACAACACTAGACACCATGGGCCGGTGTGGTGGGATATGGTGGCGGGGGGATGGGAGGGAGATGTAGGGAGACGGGTGTGGTGTGAGGGAGAGGCAAGGAAGGAAGGAAGGATAGAGGAGCGGCGTCCGACCCTCGTGGCACCACAGGCGTCTCTGGCCCCCAGGCGGGACAGGACACACACACACGGCCTCTTCACTCACAATTGCCAGAGACCATGTGTGTGTGTGTGTGTGTGTGCACCTCGGCCGCCCACGCCCGCCTCTCATTACTATTGTTCTCATTACTCTACTCATCAAGATTGTAACTTGCTTAGCTAAATGAATTGTGGGATTCAGTCCCTGAGTCCATTGTGTACCTCTGTATCCCTTTCCACTACCACCCACAAGATGGGTATGGGGTGCATAATAAATGAACTAAACTAACTACTCTACTCAGTTGTCAACGCTTATAATGTGTTGACAACATATAATAAATAAGAATGACTACAGAATTATAGTTGAACCCGAAATGATTTGCGTATTTAGCGGCTCAGTTTAACACATAAATAAACAACTGTATATATTTTTATAAATACAATTATTATTCCATAAAGTTATTGATTATCTTTTTTTCATTCTCACTCTGAGTGGTAGACCCTATACCAGTTCTGTGAGTGGTTCCCATATTACTCCGAAATACTCCCATATTTGCCCGAAACGCTATGCGTACTAGTGGCTTTAGGTATCTTTACCTCTATCTTTAAATCTAACAGAATGTTTGTACTGCAACGCTGCAACTACATATGTACTGTACCTAAATAAATTATTATTATTATTATACTCCTGTAAGTGAACACGATACCCATCCTGTTCTGGCTGGGCCATCAGTTCCGTCATGCAATCATAGGCTATTATACTCGATGGGACCCATGACAGATTGATTGCATCATTGATGATTTGATTATATCTGTACCTGCCTTCAAACACAAGCGCGCGGAACAGAAATGGGTGGGCATGTTTCCTATTATCTAATGCCTCTGTTCACCTAATAGCAAAGAAGTAGTTAGGCAATTGTTATGGGGTTGCATCCTGGGGATGGTTGGTAGTGGAAACAACCTGGCCTCAGGGAGGCGATCTGCTCAACGGAACGAACACATAATTTGTGATATTATCTACCCTCTGGCCATGGTTAGGTTAGGTTAAGTTTCATTACGTTTGGTTACGTTAATACAGTATATTTTTTACGAGAAAGTGAGGTAGACAACTGTTACGGGCTGCTTCCTGGAGATTGTGTGTGTGTGTGTGTGTGTGTGTGTGTGTGTGTGAAAATTAGGGCTAAGGACTTGCCCGAAAAGCTATGCGTGCTAGTGGCTGTACATAAATATAAGAACTCTTGTATATAAAAAAAAATTATGGAATTAAAAACTATTTCAGTGTATCCGAGAATTTCGTTTACAGAAAACCAAATCCTTCAAAGAAAACGTTTTCAACATATATTTTATTATATTTTAAACCAACAATTTATAATACAATAAATTTATAACTTGAGAATAATCCCTGTTTACAACAAAGGTTCATGTGCTACTTTACATGTATGTAGACTTACTGGAACCGTAATATGCATTCAAACTCACAAATATCTAGATAACTATCCAGGTGGTTTGAATGGGTGTGTGATTTCTCACAGTAATGGATATGCTCTGAGGACGGGCTCCAACCTGTCCCTCTGGAGGCCCAATATAAACCTGTCAACAACAAAATAAATAATAATTAAGCCCTGAGGAGCTGTGATATCAGCGAATATTTACTTACGTCTTTTAGAGTGGCGAGCATCCTGCCCCAGACTCATTCATAAATTTTAACATAATCAGTATTAAAAATTGGTTTGTTCTCATATAAGTTATTATTATTATATATTAAATTTCTATGTAAAGTTAGGTTAGGTCTTTAGGTTCTGTTATCTTGAGGTTATCTTATGATGATTTCAGGGCTTAGCGTCCCTGTCCGCGACCAGGCCTCCATTTTGTTACACATACAACGGAAGCACCCTTTAGCAGCTGTCTAACTCCCTGGTACTTTTCACCCGGTATCAGGGTGAAAGAAATTCTGCCCATTTGTTTCCGCCTCCCCCTGGGATCGAACCCGGAACCTTAGGACTACAAATCCCAAGTGCTGTTCACTCAACTCCAATGGGCATCCCCCCCTCCCTCTCCAACAATAATCTGTTGGTGATTATTTGTATTTAAAGTACAGTATGTGGGTGAAGCACTTTCAGAGTTGTGGTTCAAACAGAAGTTGTCAGCGAAGCTGTTCGAGAAAGGTTTGAATATGCAGCCCATCCTCATAAACATAGGCCAAAGACCATTCCATGCATCCCGCATACCCCGTTTATGAATGTAAAACAGTTTACACACGATGCAACTGATGACGTCCAAACATTTCTGGAACAAGTGCTTCGCTGACGACTTTTGTTCGAACCATAACACTATAAATGCTTCACCCACATACTTCAAATATAAACAGTCATCAACAGAACCTAAACACCTAATATAACCTATCCAATGCTTAAATATACACAATGTGCTAATATGTAATAATATTAATTTACATTTGAGAAAATTCCTGTTTTAAATGAACAGCATGTTAAAATTTATGAATGTATCTTTGAGGGTTGACCGCTGGCTGGAATGGACTTCGTCTGAGGACAGGTTGAGCTGTGAGTCGTGTATAAACCGTTTTTCATTCATAAACGGGGGTTTTACAGATGGTTTTGGGCCTTAATTTATGTGGATGGGCTGCCACCAGTATATACTGAACTTTGAATACCACCACCAAGAAAAGTATAACAAGAATACAAGACACTACATTTGGGGGCTTATTAGTGAAAGTGATTTACATTATAACCATAAATCTTGAAAAACTGCTCATTTCTAAAACTTTTGTGATCATTTTCTTATAAATTTTGTAAAAATAAGTTAACTTTTTTTTCTGTAAAAAAATGCAAATTTGCACATTTTCTTATTGGATATAAGTAAATTTCCAAATATGACGGTCCTGGTCACAAATGCAAAGTTCAAGGGGAAACAATTGACATTTACTATATATTTCAGGCATAAACAATTAGAAAATAACACTACCTAGGAACAAAAATTGTGTTATATAACAGTACTGTAGTTTTTAATATTTTATACAATTTTCCACCACCCTAACTATAATTATATCCTCCAATTTTAATTATTTACTTTAAATAAATTGTGCTTGTATAAATACCTAAATCACCACAAATTCTATACAGTATATAACCTACCCATTTTGTTCAAGACATGCCCCATAAAAATATACATACTAGGTCTTTTACAAACGTATAGCCTAATTATATTTATCATTATAAATTACAATCCATTGAATAACTTAAAAAAATATATTTTGATTGAAAATTTTAATAAATTACTGTAAGTTCAAAGTTTACTAGAGAAAGAGTAGAACACTGAGGGAGCTGAACCTTCTGTCCCTAGAAAGTAAACTTAGGAAAACATGATCAAAACATAAAATACTTGAGGCATCACACCAGAATATTTATTTCTCATCTGTATTCATCATTTTCGTTCTGAGCAATCTCACACCAATTTCTTAGTTTGCTTTATACAGGTCGACGATCAATCTACGACCGTCCATGTGGTTAGGCACCATTCCTTTCCAATCCTAAATCCTGACCTCTTCTCAGTGCTATATAATCGTAATGGCTTGGTGCTTTTCCCTGATAATTTCCTCCCTCCCAGAAAATTGTTCCAGCATATTAAATCACATTAGTCTTCAGCAATTTCCTTTCAATCAGGTGAATCCTAAGACTTTCTGCCCAGTAACTACTTTTCTTATGAGCAGTGTTATTCTAATACTTTTCATCCATTCATGCTGACAACACTTTATGGTCAGGTTATGAAGGTACATTCTAAACTACTTGTGAGATGGCATCCTAGGTCTCTTGTCTCAGTCTGTCTCAAGTATCACAGAAAAGGCAGAGATGACCTTTGGTGAAGGTCATGTCTTAATGCAGTCATCTGAATAATTACACCTACAGTATAACTGTAATATTATCTGACTACTAACAACTATTATTAATAACAAGCTTCCAGAAAAGTTATTGTAATGAAATGAGTAGAAACAAACAGATTTCAATGCTTCTCCCATAAATGTTTATAACCATTTCCAGACATTAAAAAATTGAAGCTTGAACATTACAAACTCAAACATAAGATGGAGAGAATAACTTTTAATTGTATATCGTATTTTCTGGCATATGAGCCATACTCTTATTTTATAGCATATGAGACACATCCCTATCTCACAGGAACCGAGATGCACCCCTATTTTACAATGATTGTATAACAAAATTGCTTAGTGCTTCATCATACATTTATTGCAAGTAATTTTAAAGCATAGCTATCCTATTACCATATTCTTTTGTCTAAGCTTCAATACTGAGGTAAAACTGAAGCTTAAAGCAATGCATCAAAACTGCTGTCAAATACAGTATTTACCAAGTCAGTGAAGCAAGCATAGAAAGAGTATATCAGCCAATATAAAAACTACAGAACAAACTAATTCATGTAAATAATGAGAGGTCTGAGAACAACGAATCACTAGAAACGCCAAAGTAATTGGGATTAATAACATTCCACTTATGATAAACTCTTTACTTTCCATACATCAGTTCTCACATGAGAAGTTGAGACAGTAGTTCAAGTACACATCACAAATATAACTATATACACAGTGCAGGTCAATTGTTTATTGTTTTATTTTACCAGGATAGGTTTTTTGCTTGAAGGAACTTATCCTAGAGGGAGAAGAGGGTGGATTTATCTTCACTATTCCTGACATGTACGGCTGCAGTACTGCTGGTATAGTGATGGTTCCATCATGAGACTGAAAAGTCTCACACACAGCAATGATTGTCCGAGGTATTGCACAAGCTGTACCGTTCACAGTATGTGCTAACCTGTAGGAAATAGTCAGTTTGATATATTTTCAAAACGGTGAACAATCATAAATCAATCCCTAGGAGAACTATGCATGAAATTATTATATGACACATGTAAATTTGCAAAGAGCAGAAAAGGAAATATAAGGCAAGGCATAGTCAAGAACATATTTTCACCTCTGTCCAAAGGCATGAAATTATCTACCAAATTGAACAGCATTAACCATTCAACACTACAAAATATCAGAAGTACATATTAAATGGTGTTACAGTTCAAGCAGCACACAGGAGCAATAGTTTATAAGAGTAAATTAGTGTTAAAAAGTTTTAGCATTTAATGGGGCATCATCACAATTTATTATCAAAGTGATCCCTAGGCAGGACAGAAATGGCTGGGCATGTTTCATTTCACTTGCTGCCTTCACCAAGCAGTAAATAGGTACCTGGGAGTTAAGGAACTGGTGTGAGTTGCATCTCATGTGTTAACAACTATGCTGTTTTCTTACATTGACTACCTGTTTAACATCACTGCTACTACTGTATATTCAAACTCTCTACACCACTCATTATGTACTAATTCCATATGATCATCACATAGCTTTGTCACTTTACAAGCTGATACTGGTAAAACAAAAAATGGGTGCTCATGCCACACATGTATAATAATTACAACAACCATTCATTCAGGCAGCCCTCTGGCCGAGTCCTCTCTTGTCCTCCTTAATCACGACTCTCCTGATCAGCCACTTCGATTCAATTTTGTTTTTTAATAACAATGGTTCAAACAAACCAACATCCTTTAATAGACGGGGGAAAAAAAAAGACTACATTGGGGAGCCTATTCTTCTACCGTATTTTCTCATAAAGTGATGAACTGCATGTAGGAGAAACTCGGACAAGATTTATAAAATTAAGTCTAGTATGTGTCGTGTCAATAACAGTGCTTTTAAAAGAAGTTGTTTTTTTCACAATTTCTCATAGTGCTCCATACCAGAGAATCCAGGCGATACTGTATTTCTAAGAAAAAGTCAAATGGATCACATTATTAAATATATTCCACATATTATTGTAATTAAAACAAATGTAAATAAATCATTAACAATAATAAAAATATAACTAAACTCATATACAGCATCCTAAGTATTTTTTAGTCTACCATACTATACTCAACTGTAAATTGATGATGCTGATTACAATTCAGTACAGTACTGTACTTTGTCACTGACATTCTCTGTTGTCTAAATATTTAGCATTCCTGTGACGTTAAGTGCCTCCTTTCCAAGCAGGACCATCTGGCACCACTCTGAAGCACAGAATGTCACATCCCCATTTTGTATTTCTTAATCTTTAACTATTAGTTCGGCCTTTGAATAAGAGAACCCAATTTTTTTTTTTTTATTATTATTTTTCTACCACAGACATGGCCACACATTTACAATGCTAACCAGCATATATACATTTTCTTCTGTCCTCCATGGACAGGGTGTGGACAGACAACACCCAAGTGGTATAACTTGGAAATAAGGTTTTGAGTACAGTATATTATATGTATAAGTATAGTATATGAAAAACTCCTTTCTTAGAACTGTTGCTTCCATTCCCTCCCTGATTCATTTGTAATTTATAGGCAGTTCATGTCTGGCAGTCAATGAATCCTGTTTATGTATAGGAGCTGCCGCCTGGTTTGTGATCTGAAGAGCAGTTGATGGGTCACACCCAGTGGTTAGTGAGAGAGCTGGTTGGCAGTTCTTGTAAAAACAAATAATGCTTGGAAGAACTTTGAGTGTATATGAATGAAACTTCTAGTCATTCCAGATTGAATTGTATTTTCTCCAATGCCCAATTGGTATGATCTGACAATTATAGAGATCCTTGTTACACCAATACAGATTGTCTACCTACCCAAACTGTGCATGATCCTGTCCTTTGGACTAGCAGGCTCTACCCAAAGGTAGCAATTGAGTATCCTGCTCAGGGGAGATCTTTTCATACTAAACAATATACCCAAAGCCTGATTTTTATGCTAAGCCATATCTCATTCCTTAGCATATGTGGTTTTAGCTTTATACATGAATAAATCTATACCCTACTTTAAATAGATTTCAAATACTGTACCTCTGAATGCCTTCGTTGTTCCTGTAGGTAATATTTAACCTACGCGCTTGATAGTCGGTACAGTTAGAGGCAGAAGAAATTTCACCATACATGCCTCTTCCTGGCATCCAGGCTTCCATGTCTGTTTTTGTATAGGCTGGTGCACCAAGATCATTAAGAGGCATATCTAGTATCTGTAAGAGATAACATTACACAGTAACAAAAGTAAAAGTAGTGGAGCTTTGTAATGAACATTGCCTCACCAAAATAAGTGCCTCACCAAAAGAAGATCCTATTCATAACATGCTGTCATCAAAATCTTCACTATTCCTTGTTCCTAATTACAGTAGAACCTACAGATTTATGAAAAGTTACCTGTGGAACCAGCACCTCAAATGTCACCCTCCCTGATTATACAACTCACTTCCACAATTACTGTACAGGAAAACTTTACCTTTAGACTCAATCCTTTGGGATAGCTTGAAAATTATGTTAAACTATGCATACAATAAAATTAAAAGCTTGAGAAGAGCTTCTTAATGAACATGTTATTCTGCCACTTCTACAGGTACACACACCCTGTATGCATAGAGCCTGGCCTCAGGCTGGGCTCGGGAATAGAAGAACTCCCAAAACCCTCTCCAGGTATAGAAGGTAACCAACTTCATTACTGCAAATAACAAATAGCACTGGTGCTACTGTTTTCTGTTTTCATATACTGGGCATATAGCCTCTTTGTAAATCCTAAGTGCATGGCATTGCACAGTGGATGATGTGCAAGTAACTTGGGGTCAGTCAAGATTAAGTCAGCAATGGGCGAGTGACTACAGTGACAGCCTTGTATTTGCCTATAGGGATCTCGATAAGCCTAATATGCTTATTCTTCCTGACAATGATATACCATACCAGAGGTCCAGTGGTCTATTTACAAACTCAAGCATTACAGATTCCAAGTGCTGTCACTCTCAAGGTAGCCAGTGGAAAATCTGAAAAACTCTTAAAAGCCAATTGGAGCTTCCAGCTCAACCCCATGTCAGCAGGTGGCAAGCACCTGTGTTGCAAGGTTGGCCTACCTGGTCGGCCGAGCGGTCAGCACACTGGACTTGTGATCCTGTGGTCCCAGGTTCGATCCCAGGTGCCGGCGAGAAACAATGGGCAGAGTTTCTTTCACCCTATGCCCCTGTTACCTAGCAGTAAAATAGGTACCTGAGTGTTAGTCAGCTGTCACGGGCTGCTTCCTGGGGGTGGAGGCCTGGTCGAGGACTGGGATGCGGGGACACTAAAAAAACCCGAAATCATCTCAAGATATAACCTCAAGATAACCTACCCACAACTATTTCAAATCCTGACAGGAAGAGAGCCTTCCCAATGCATTAAGTACAGTAGTGGGGCTGATGGGAAGAATTAAAAGACAGAATAACTTGATCAGAAATGAGACACATAATCACAAATTAAAATGCATTTTCTAAGGAAGTCATTCTGCCACTCATACAGTATGGTTCCCACTGTCGAGAACAGAAAGACTATCAGGCTTATCAATGTCTTCTACGTCAATGACTGAACTTCCCCCAGGATGCAACCTACAACACTTGCCCAACTCCCTGCTGCCTATTTACTGCTAGGCAAAGGTAGTTATAACCATCTGTCATAACTTAATTAAGATTCCTAGAACTCACAAAACATGAACTTTGAAATATTTATACAAATTTACAGTGAAAATGATTAAAACCTTTTCTTATTAAGAAAATATATTTCATAGTTGCTTACTTGAAAATGAAATCCTAGCTGAGAAAAAAGTTTTTTTTGTATTCGAGTCATTTCTGTGTACAGTTGATGGCTTTCTTCTCCGGCTTCTACTGCTGTAACTCCAAACATTTCCACCTTCGTGAACTCGTGTACCCTGGAAATAATGTGTGAAGCTGGATCATGAACACCTTGTATGAGTAAAGATACACTAGGTATTAATCTCCACTGCATATCAATGAGAAAATGTCTTTTGAGACAAGATGGGAGACAAAATATTTATAAAGCTTAATTCTCATACTGATGGTGAAAGACATCCAGTATAAGATACAGTATTTTCTGCAACAGTATTTTATAGCAAAAATTTTTTTGATTAGTGTAAATAACAGACCATGTTTTCATGTATATTTTATGCTTATATGACCTTAAAAATAGCATTTGTAATAATTACTTTTGACTGTTGCATCTGGGTGACCTAGGACACCCAGTTCAATTCTATCATATTGTCCCAAAAGATTTTCTCGCAGATAAATCATGCTACTGTGATTTCATTGTGCAATAACACAGAGCTAGATACCTGTAGATCCCTTTTTTCTCTAGAGATGAAGCAGCTTCTGCTCTGTAACATCGTGACACAGCAGCCAGTTTCATGGGAAGCTCTTGCAGTGTAAAGGTTTTATTTCTTAAGTAACCACCAAGAGACATTTCAGCTGTCCCGGACAAACAGACACCCTCATTAGGATTAATTATATGATACACCTGGCAAGAAGAAAATTTTTTTAAATTAAAAACAAGTATTTTTAAGGCTGGCAGTTTTAAGACAAGGAATGATTTAGCATAAAAAACTGCATTAAGACAATATAATGGTATTATACTCACTATTATAGTGAGTATATTATGGTGAGATTGAATAAATAAAACATAGTAGAGATTAAATTTGGAAAAGCAGAAATGGGCTTCAGTAAATATCAATCAGTATTAAGAAAAACAAGACAATTATCATAATAACCATTACTACTCTGGTTTCCACCTTCATAGGGTGAAGAGATACATAACTTTCAGTTTGTACTAGAAGGGTGTTTTGTTAGCAAGTAGGAGTTTATGGTTATTCCTTGACAGTAATGATGTCAATAGAAGCTTAAGAGTAGACCTTCACAAAATGTAGATGGTTGCAATGGGCTTTTAAGAGGCAGAGGAAGCAAAAACCATTAGAACATTTAAAATACCTGTACAGTATATGCCAAATTGCAAAGATGACACACCATAAGAATAGCTCCCCACTTGTAACTATAAAAAAAAAAAAAAAAAATGTAATTCAAGTACACATTCACAAATACTGTACAGATGCAAGTTCTGTACAGACAAGCCTAGAGTAAAGTTGCCTGTTATCAGACATTGGCATTAATAGTGGTGACCAGTCCTCAGACCAAGTCCACTCCATCCAGCAGTTGACCTCAAAGACGCATTCAACAATTTTAACATACTGTTCATTCAAAATAGGAATTTTCTCAAATGTAATTTAATATTGTTATATATTAGCATACTCTGCATATTTAGGCATTTGGTTAGGTGTTTAGGTTCTGTTGGCAATTATTTGTATTTGTAGTATGTGGGTGAAACATTTACAGCGTTGTCGTTCGAACAAAAGTCATCAGTGAAGCACTTATTCCGGAGGTGTTCGGACATCATCAGTTTAGAGTCTTGTGTAAACCGTTTTTCATTCATAAACAGCGGGGTTTGGCAGGTGCACGGAATGGACTTTGGCCTTTGTTTATGAGGACGGACTTTGTTTAAGTGGACTAAAAATATTTGTTAGGTTTGTTGGAAACTTATTGTACAAATCGAAAGTTGCTGTTCTATACAACTACACCTAAATGGATGCTGACATGCAACACCAATAGGCATATAAAGATACTGACAGCAGCCATTTTTTTGTATGTCTCAAAATGTCCATACATCTTGCCTGGCACTCAGACAGAGATCTGTTACACATTTATAAGAGAATTTCACTAGTACAGTATAACCATATACTGTACACTGTATTATGTTCTATATTATACTGTACCTCCCTAAACTCCCATACTATTAGGGAATGCTTTTTTATTATTATTATTTATTTTATTTTATTTATATATACAATTCTTACATTCTTGTAAAGCCACTAACACACATAGCATTTCAGGCAGGTCCTTAATCCTAATTTTCCAGGAATATGACCCGCCAAATCATTTAACAACCAGGGGCCAGATTCACGAAGCAGTTACGCAAGCACTTACGAACCTGTACATCTTTTCTCAATCATTGGTGGTTTTGTTTACAATTATTAAATAAACAGGAGGCTGTTTACAACAATAACAACAGTTGATTGGGCAGTTTTCATGCTTCTAAACTATTTAATAAATGTAACCAAAGACGTCAAAGATTGAGGAACGATGTACTCATTCGTAAGTACTGTACTTGCGTAACTGCTTCGTGAATCTGGTCCCAGGTACCCATTCACTGCTAGGTGAACAGAAGCTACAGTTAAGGATTGGCAACCTGTCAATCCTCCCTGGCCAGGATATGAACCCAGGCCAAAGCACTTGTGAACCCCTGGGTGAGTGCTATTTAAGAATAACATTAGCAGGTTCAAATATCTGGGAACCAGTAATGTCCAGAAACTAGCACCTGGGGGATCAGATACTGAACTAGTTACGCCAATGTTTAGTGGCCCGTTTCCTAGGAGCCACTGAGAATTAAGTTCTGATATAAATATACGTACAAAGTGATCATTCATAAAAAAAACAAAATAAAAGATAACCCTTTAACTTTGATAATACAAAAATAACTATGATTTTTGTAAGAACCTTACACTGAATCATGGAAAATTAATGTTAGAATAAATATTAAACCAGGTTGCAGGCGAAGAAGCCACTATTAAACCAGGTTTTTATTGGACAGCCTTCATGTTTCAATATGTTTAAGAATACTGTATATTCCAAGAGTTCCTGGCATTTTTGAGGTTCTGTTCACTGTACAGGTACTTTAGGCTTTCTTCCGCGATGATGTCTGGTAACTTACAACTATCCAAAGACATGCGACTGTTCCCTACATAAATTCAGAAGTGAGTAGGCCTACACAAACAGATTAGTTAGTTAAGTACAGTACACATAAATCTATACAAATACAGGTGAAAGTGCTTATACATATGGAGTGAGATTGGGCCAAGAGAGACAAAAAATGTAAGAAGAATGTCCTGAGAGTGTAGGTGGTGAATAAACAGAATGTACACACACACACATACAAGAAGTGGTGAAGGCATACTTAATGGATGAGTTTAAATGAAAATAGGACAACCCATGAGGTGCCCAGATACTCATTCCCACATGTACTGAGCACAACAAAATGACACATCCATAACAGGGTAACTTCTGGTTATACTGATGGAAGAATCAATGTACTGTATATTCAAATTCAAATTCAAAATTCAAATTCAAATGTTTATTCAGGTAAAGTACATACATACAAGGGGTGATACAAATATTGATGAATTTATAGATAGAGCTAGTACCTGTACATACAATGCCTAAAGCCACTATTACGCAAAGCGTTTCGATATGCCAGTTGTGGGCACTCACCTGAGACATTTCTCCTTTTGTGTTCATGCCACAGCTATCAATTATGTCAGAATAAAGTAGATCAGGTACAGACATAAGAGTAAATCCTTTTCTTAGTAAATATGAGACAGTGTATCTGAAATAAAAAGGAACAGAGGTCAGTACAGTATTCTGTGCTGCAGTTACTGTACATAACTGCCTCGAAAGATTCATTATCTTTTATATTTGCTAGGACTGCACCAAAAGAACATCCAGAATAATCGATTATGTTTTTCCCTCTTCCTTCACCTTTATCTTTGTGCAGACCGTCTTACCACAGTCCACTACAAGAAGGCTATACTGTAATCATTTCACATGTTTATCATTATTTTATTTGTTATGGAACACTTGAAAATGTGATTATGTTTCTTGTACTGTATTAATGCAGAAAGACTTACCTTATTAATGCTTGTTCAAGAACAGATAATGGTCCTTTAAGGTAGTAACTTCGAGAGGCCATTAGATTTCCTAGATTTTCTGTTCGAATAATATCCAATTTCTGGCCAAGTTCACTAAATTCAAGAGGTTCAAAGTTGAACTTTGGTTTAGGATTAACAAATTCTAAAATCTTTGGCTCTTCTCCATATTCCCAAAGATGAGGACTTGCATTGTTAGGAATATTTAAAGCTTCTCTTTCCAACTCTGTTTGTAATGCTTCATATTCTTGTGAAGAGGAACTGAGGCCATTTAACTTTTTGTTGATTTCAAGTAATTTCCATATATTTCCAACATTTTTTCTTTTCTTAATCAATTTGTCTATATTATATGCATTTTCAGGGTTACATAAATATTTATAATCAAGTTTAGGTTTTGTTTTCTCATTGGCATTGCCAAAATTTTGCAGTGAACAAAAACTTCTAAAATAATCAGATGCCTTTCCTGTTATATATTTTCTACACTTAAAAGGGCACTGAATATAATTGATAATAGCTTGTTTCATATTTGTAGATGTAGATCCTTATCCCTGTAGAAAACAGACTTGAATTAGTTACAGGCTTATAAGCAACATACTGCTCAAGTTCTTAAGAAAATGGTTTCCCATTGTTAGGGACAGAAAGATTGTACTCTGGCATATCAAAGTCCCTTCCTCCCACCCCCAATCCTTAAACCAACTCCCAGCACTGATCTTCCGTGTGATGCAACCCACAAAAATTGCCTTACCACAAATATTTTTGTGATCATATATATAATAAAGTATGCATTATTTTGTTTTCAGGTAATGTAGAATCTTTTGGCTGTAGATGTGGAATGATAAGGATAGACATCAAGATAAGTACATTCTAGGAACAAAGGAGAAAAATGGTAGCAAATAAGCTGCCTACACTACAAAATCTATACCTATGTAACTGCACTTAATATTGCAATAGCTCTGAAGAAGAACATACATAAGACACCTTGGCAGTGGATCTGCTGGCCAATGCTGTGCGAGCCCAGATGAGAGGCATCATATAAGTTGGATTGCCAAACAGACCATGAGTTTAACAATAGAATTGCAATAGCCCCTCCAACACTTAACCCAAATCAGGCAAATATACAATAATGTCTTCTGGTGACCTCAGGTGTGTCTGAGGACACTTGGACCCCACTAATTCCATGCACCTCTGGGCCAAGGCACTTTCTCCCCACCCGAAAATCCAACCGGTAAATGGAAAAATCTTAACATCTTTGTGACTCCAGTTGTATAAATCGTGGCTGTAGAAGAGGAATGACTAACAGTAAGTAGTATCAAGACCCAATGAAGAGGATGAAATTGCGTCACGTTGTCCGGTGGTTCCAAGCTAGGTGAATCAGATGGCAAGACGTCCACCAGTAGTTGAGATTGAACCAATTGTCCGGGTATTGTTTTGATGGTAGGAGGTGATCGCTTATGGTGCTGCACTACTCTTTACGTTTTCTTTGGTTGGTAGACTCGCGGTATTGGTTTAATTGTACCTATAATGTTAATTGGGATTCTTGGACTGTTATTTGTCTATATACTCACTGAATTTGTGCACCCCTTGAGGGACTTGAAGTAGAGGGGGGTAGAAATAGCCTAAGCTACTCTATCCCTTTGAGATGTATTTCTTTCTTGTCTCAATAAACATACTTGAACTTGAATTGGTTTAATTTCATTATAATTCATGATGGGGTAAGGTCAGATTACTGACCCAACCTAGAATGAAACCCAACAACAAGCTGACTAACTCCCGGGCACCTTTTTATTGCTACGTGAACAGGGGCTATCGTTTTCGTGATTGAAAACGCACCCATACATTTTTGTCCCGCCCGGGACTCGAACCCGGAATTTTTGGTTGTGAGTAAAAAACGAACCCAACTGTACTACCTTAACCTAAATTTATTTGAGAGTCTCCCTATCTAGTAGACTCAACAGTAACAACCTACTTTATTCCAGTTGAATTTGAAGATGAAATACTGTCTTGCAATTTATGGTTTTGGCATTTTGGTTTAGTTCATTTATTATGCACCTCGAAAACATACAATACAATACAATTTTATTTAGGTAAGGTACATACATACAATAAATTTTTACAAGGATTGGTTGACTTATAGGTAGAGCTAGTACATACAATGCCTAAAGCCACTATTAGGCATTACCGTTGTCTGTTTTGCATTATGGCGTGTTGAACTTAAAATTGTTGTCCTCTAGCAGTATGTATGAGTTACATTGGACGTTATAAAGAATTGGTCTAGGTTAATATCCTTCATCTTGTTCAGTATTTTAAAAATTATGATGAGATCATTCCAGTCATGCCTGATTTGAAATGTTGTAAGTCATATGGCCTTCAACCTTTCCTGGCATAAAAGTCGACTTAGTTCTAGGATGAGTTTTGTTGCTCTGTGTTGAACTGATTGATTGATTGATAAAGATTAAGCCACCCAAGAGGTGGCACGGGCATGAATAGCCCGTAAGTGGTGGCCCTTTTGAGCCATTACCAGTATCAAGAGATGATACTGGAGATCTGTGGAGGCGCGACTGCACCCTGCGTGACGGGAGATGTTACCCGGACCAAATGGTGAGTGTGTTGAACTTTCTCCAAAGTAGATATATATCTTTCTAAATATGAGGTGTCCATACTTAGATTCGTTAATAAAGATGAGGGTGCATCCGGGTATTGTACAGTTGAATAACCACTTTCTTTTCACGGAAGTCAAAAGTTCGTTTGACCTAAGATTGGGCCGATTTTTTATACTGCGGCTCCTGCACACGGTTGGTCGATATAGCATATACTGTATAGTAGATATATAGCATGTTAAACGTGCCCAACCATTTCTGCCCCGCCTGGGAATCGAACCCGAGATCCCCGATTGTGTGTCGATAACGTAACTAAGTATGAATGAAAATATTCTTTAGATGCACGTTTTAACCAAATATTTTAATCCGTAATGTTAATTCGTGCGTATAATATACTTTTTAAGAAATTACTCTAGTTTTGTGGTTGCGAACGTTAAGAATTTGAATTGTATAAGTCCCTCTCTAAATATCCTGTTTCATATTGTATAGAAAACGATATTTTCTGAAGGACACACTATAATGATTTTTTTTGTAATACCATGAGCTGTTTGTTAACAAAACTAACAGCTCACGGTGCTGGTTGATTCATTGCAATACTTGCATAAATTTTAATTCGTTTCGTCGAGGACAGGAAGCGTGTGTATATTAAACTTTAGACTTGCGTCAAGGTCACCCAAGGTCTAATTACTGACCTTCTCTAGGATGCAACCCCACAACAGTTGCATAACTGCCAGATACCTAATTAATTACTGCTAGATGGACAGAGGCATTAGATGAAAGGAAACGTGCCCAGCCATTTCCGTTCCGCCTGGGAGTCGAACCCGGGATTCTCGATTAAGAATAGAGAACGAACCCAACTGATGTTAGTGTTAGACTTACATTAGTCCTAACTTATCAACCTATCAATGTCTGGAGAATTATTAAGGCCACCACGATAGCATTACTCTCTAATATAATCTACATCTATATTTTAGTGACGGAGTGAAACAAGCATCCCATGACCCACTGATCACTACTTCAACCAGCACCGTGAGCTGTTAGTTTTGTTAACAAACAGCTCATGGTATTACAAAAAAAATCATTACTGTTTGTCAGCAACAAGGTAAACAAAAGACCATAGGGATCCAAACTGTAAATGTTTTTGCCAGTATCAGGTTTTACATGGAATACATAATTATGTCTTGCAGATTGTAGAACTTTAATGTATTAAAATGGCCGTACATACAAATATTAATGACAACTTTTGCAGGTTTGTTAATTGTAAATAAAATATGGTACCTTTCCATATAAAGGGTGACAATAACACGAACACGCTTTTAGAAGTAAAGGTATCACAAAACTATGGACAATAGCATTTGATTCATAAAACTAGCTTCTATTATTACACAGGTGACAAATGCATAAGCAATTTTTAAATGTCAAAAAAAAATTTTAAATTGAACTTTTATTTAATTTTCCCATTTGCTTCATTATCTTCTGTTACATCAGCTGCTGGAACTTACCAATGCTGACTCGTGGAATGGGAATCCTAGTCTAATTTCTCCACTGAATTCTCATGACGTTTAATTTCTTGTGTGTGATGTAATCAACTCTTTTACTGACATGTTGCCGAGTTTCTTCCCAGTCCTGACGAATGAGTGTCGGTCCAATTAACTTGTACACAGTAAAGTTAAAAATTCTAGCAAATTAATCTATTTGTGTCTTGTCTGCAAGAAGAAAGATATTTTAGGTCTCGTTGCGGAGTATATCCAGAGGCCAGATTCACGAAGCAGTTACGCCAGCACTTACGAACTTGTACATCTTTTCTCAATCTTTGGCGGCTTTGTTTCCAATTATTAAACAGTTAATGAGCTCCGAAACACCAGGAGGCTGTTTATAACAATAAAAACAGTTGATTGGCAAGTTTTCATGCTTGTAAACTGTTTAATAAATGTAACCAAAGCCGTCAAATATTGAGGAAAGATGTACACGTTCGTAAGTATTTGCGTAAGTGCTTTCGTGAATCTGGCCCGAGCAGGCTGTCATCATATCAATTCCAAAAACATACCAGCATATATAGCTCCTTCTCCTGATTAATTGTCTGACCTCAACAACCTGTTTAGAAGCGTGGATGATGGCAAGTGTGGCGGGCCGGGCAGTGGCGCGCGGGTACCAGTGGCCAGCCTTCTCCTTCCAGGCAGTTTGGAGCCTTATAATTACCGAAAGCAAGTGCGCAGTGTTGTTTACTCTGAAACCGTAATCGTGTTAGCGAACGAACAGTTAATGGAGAGCGTCGGGTAATACAGGAATAGTGAAAAAGTTTCTCACGTGTTTGTTGACAAGAAAACGGCATGTTTCCCTTGTAAACATCAGCTGTGGCTGTTGCCACATTACAAAGCTCGTATTCACTATGTCCATAAGTCTGATTAATATACAAGTAACAAATTACGTGATGGCAAACTTAGTGAGTGTGAGTGGTGAAACAAGTAACAGAAATTTAAAGCTTAGAAATAATTGTTACAGTGTGATTGTATTTTGAAGGAAACTTTTCGAGTGTTGATGCCTGCAAATTTGATCAATATTTGGGACTAAATTATCCCAGGGTCAAGTGCTTTTGTCTCAGAAATGATGTTCATATTTGGAAGCCCAAATGACAGTGAAAAAAAAACATGTGAAAAATATCAGCCATGAATATTAATTTACAATTCCCGACTTCGTTCTCAATTCTCACCTAAATCCAGTAACTTTAGGCTTGCTGTAGCTGGATTATTTGTCCAGAGCTGACGCAGTGTGTCAGACCAGACGCAGTGTTTCAGAGCTGAAGCAGTGTGTCGGACTAGACGCAGTGTGTCAGACCAGACGCAGTGTGTCGGACCAGACGCAGTGTGTCAGACTAGAAGCAGTGTCAGAGCTGAAGCAGTGTGTCAGACCAGAGAGATGCCAGGCGTCGGGAAGCACCAATACAACATGGTAAGGTAAATGTTATGTTTGTTTTGTATTTGTGTACTTTACGAATGGTTCATTCGTGCCCCTGAATGAAGTAAGGGTGGGGGTAGGCCTACCTTGTCACGGCCCACATCATGTATGATATCACAGGAGCCCTTGTCACGCCCCACATCATGTATGATATCACAGGAGCCCTTGTCACGCCCCACATCATGTGTGATATCACAGGAGCCCTTGTCACGCCCGACATCATGTATGATATCACAGGAGCCCTTGTCACGCCCCACATCATGTATGATATCACAGGAGCCCTTGTCACGGCCCACATCATGTGTGATATCACAGGAGCCCTTGTCACGCCCCACATCATGTATGATATCACAGGAGCCCTTGTCACGCCCCACATCATGTGTGATATCACAGGAGCCCTTGTCACGGCCCACATCATGTATGATATCACAGGAGCCCTTGTCACGCCCCACATCATGTATGATATCACAGGAGCCCTTGTCACGGCCCACATCATGTATGATATCACAGGAGCCCTTGTCACGGCCCACATCATGTATGATATCACAGGAGCCCTTGTCACGGCCCACATCATGTATGATATCGCAGGAGCCCGGCCCCGTCGTAGCAAATGAGTTTGATAGTTATGGACTGGGATAGCCATAACGGTAATTGAAATACGTAAGTAAGTTTGCATACGTAATTTTCAAAGTGGAGAATTAATGGTGATTAATTAAAGGAGTTTTTGAGACGTTAAGCACATTTAGTATTTTTCATATATATAGAAGTGTAAGGTAGAGGAAATAATGAAAACAGGCCGTATATGAAAGTTACAGGATAGCCTATTGGTTTAAGTTAAATACAAAAAATCTGCATTATGATTAATTCTTCTTATAATAATTTCCATAGGGAATTGTAGTGATAAATGTGTAGTGCAATAGGCAAATAAAAGTAGACCTATGTACATGTATTTAGAGTGAATAGGAACGTGTAGGAGAATAGTATGAAATCTCTTAATAAGAGCTTTCAATGAGTTCTGATTTACTTATTATGTAAATGCC